CACTGCTTTTGACTTGTAATCCAATTCTTTTGATACCCTTTCCAGTAGGTAACTGACTTGAAAAGGCAAAACTGAATTTGAAACAGGGAGAAAGAAAAGATAAGAGAGAAAGCAAAAGATGAAAAAATCACAGGCTTTTGAGTGGGAAGATGCAGTATTTTTTTTTCTGAAAAATCTCCTATACAGGTTAGAAAACAATTCCTGGCCTGTGCCTGGGTGTTAACAAGGCAGGTGAACCAAACTTGTGTTGACCTCCCCAGTTTCCACATGCTCATTGACAGTATTTTCAATAAAAGCAGGCATTATATTATTTTTTTTCTCTCTCATGCTATATTCCTTTGAACTAAACAAATATTTTGATTTGCGGCTGAAACAGGAAATATGCTCTCATCTTTCTTTCCAGCATGTCAGTGGGGTGGGTAGTGACACAATGCTGTCTTGTTGTTCTGAAACCTTGAGAAGTTTTCATGACTCTCTAACTCAGTGAATGATAAACTTCAGAAAAATTAATCTCCGGGCTTGGTGGTGTGCTTTTTCATCTTGGCACACTGAGATCCAGAATGTACTCTTTCCTCCATCCCTAGAGAATGTTAAGTGGCACCATTAAAAATCATTCTGAAATGCAACAGCTTTCAGAAGGCAGAATAAGAGCATCTGCACCATTAGCATAAGCAGTCTGAAATGAGAAGGCACTACAATTGATTATTAAAGCAACCTGCTCAAATGCATATTAGTCTTTCCTTTTTCCCTTCTTTCTCTTTTTTCCTTTCTTTTTTTCATTCCTTTTTTTCTTGCTTTCTTGCTTTCTTTTCTTCTGACTTTCATTACCACTCGGCATTTAACTTTTAGAAAGGCAATTCTGAATTAAAAGCTCACCCAGATGGTTACTGAGCAAAGGTTGTTTTGGATGACTGGTATTGGCTAGATGCTGCTTGTCTTGTAAGGAATAAAGCATGCATTGCAAAAACTGGAGGATATAAATATATCATAGAGACTATCTAGCACCCTTACATCCACTCATGGTGTCAGCATTGCCAACCACTGCACAAACTATTACTGACTTTTAAAAGGTGATTTTATAAATATTCCTGAACAGGCCCTGCACTGGATGATAGGAGGACGTTAGATATTTAAGATTTAAAAATGAAAGGTATTTTTAAATTTTTTTTCTTTCTATAGAGAAAAAGCCTTCAGCAGTCTACAGACTTGGAGGACAAGAGTGGTAGAAGTGTTGAGTGCCTAAAGATGAAGATGTCTGTGCACAGTATTCATGAACCAGTGCTTGCAAAAATTGCACACAAATGGGCATGCTGATGCTACCAAATGAATATCAGCTGAAAGATATAGCTCCTTTCCCTATTCACATCCATTAGCAATCTCCTTCACTAGTCTTGTACAACAATTCTCTTTTACAAATATTTAATGTTCACTTTCATCCCTAATGATCATCCCTGGGTACAGTGAAATCAAAAGGAGAAACTGTAATGCCCTCACCCCTAATCTGGCAAATGCTAAACTTCCTGTTTTATAAAGCAGTAAAGTATTTTTGTCCTTTAATCTTTCATTTCAAGAGTGAAAAATGGAATAGATGCCACAATTTAATCTAATGAAAAATAATCACAGTGCTCCTGAAAGCTAATGTAGCAGAAGATTCTTCTTAGAGAAGCTCTGTAGTAAACTACACTCCGCTAATCTTATCTGCCGTTCTCAACAGGCAGGGGCCTAGGGTTTGTGCTCTAGCAATTCTGTTTTACTGGTCAACACAGAATTTTAATTAAACATAGCTTATAGGCCAAATATTAAATGGAATAATAAAATCAGAGCATAACCTCACATGGAGTGTATTATGGCGCACAAAGGTAATCTTGTTTTTCTTTCTTCTGAACCCATGGATATCTTATGGTGTTAAATAATCAGTCATTCAAGCCATGCATTCAAAAGTGGATTCTCCTTAGTATGTCAAATACATAAAATTTTTACAGATTTTTACACTAGTAAATGGATTTTTTCTTCTCCCTTATCAGTAGTTGTGCCAGTTTATAAGTACAATTAAGTATTGCTTTAGGAAAAAATAGGCCAATAGGTTAATAGTGAATCCTCAATTATTTCAGATTTTTATCAATATGTAAAACTAAATATGTTATCTGCATGTATATACTTTAGTGTATATACTTACATAAAAATATCCACTTTCAAAATTGGACAAAATATCTGCTTATTTATTTATTTTTTTCATACTCTGACAAAATGCATTTACTGATGGGCTTTGGGAGGGGAGCCTGTGCACACCTGTGTGTGTATGTCTATGGGGAGGTGTGTGTGTTTGTGTGTACTTTTATGTACAGGTCTTACTGATACCTGAGTTTTCTTTAAAGCAAATATAATTTTAGATGGACAGATATGAAAGGAACATGAAGTTAATTAGCAGAAGAAAACTGTGCAAGGTTACATGAAAATAAAATGTACTAATGGTACTTAAGCTAATATTTTATATTCATCCTGTATCATAGTGTTTGGTAAGAGCATCATTTTTCACAGCAGATTTTTGCCTTGCTTATCATGCATGAGTTGGCAATGAAACTTTCTGTAGGGACAGTACAGGATTTGTGCATCAGCTGATTTCTTTTTGAATATTTATGGGTTACACTACACAGTTTTGTCCCAATATAAACAGGATTTTGTGAGAGCTGTAGTAGTGTGATTCACCTCATTTCACTGAGGTTCTGAGAAGGTCTGGGAAGAGCATCAACAGAGCTTTCTAATGCTTAGAGCCTCGAAATGCCTGTGATGTGTCCCTGCAGTACAGAGGTCAGCAGCCTCCTGGGTTGCACCTGGCAGAGCATCACCAGCACACCAAGGAAATGCTCCTGCCCCTCTGCTCAGCACAGGTGAGGCGCAGCTGGAGTGCTGCATCCAGGGCTCCCAGTGCAGCAGAGACATGAACATGAAGAAGAGAGTCCAGTGAATGGCCACTAAGATGATTAAGGGAGGGAGCATCCCTCCTAGGAGGAAAGGATGAGAGACCTGGCACCTGAACCTGGGATGGTTTAGCCTGAAGAAATGAAGGTTCAAGGGAGATGTTATCAATCTAGATAAATACATGAAGGGAGGTGCAAGGACAGAACCAGGCTCTCTGCAGTGGTGTCTGGGGACAGGGCAGGAGGCAAAAGGGCACAGGCTGAGTTACCCAGAAAGGTTGTGGAGTCTCCATCCTTGCATATATTCAAGTGCTGACTGAAGATGTTCCTGAACAATCTGATCTGGCTGGCCCTGCCTTGAGCAGAGGGGTTGGGCTAGACAACCTCCAAAGTTCCCTTCCAACATCAACCATTCCGTAATTCTGAGACCAGCTTGAATACCTTATGCTGCCTTAATTCCTATGAAAAGATAGTAACAAAATAACCCTGACAAAAGTAGTTCAAAATGTGGACTTAGGAAGATTTCAAAGCTAACAATATTCTAAGAATAATAGGAAAAATTGGGTATCAACATTAGGCCTTCTGTTAAAAAAAAAAAAAAAAGGTAATGTGGAGTTTCTTCATCTGCCTGCAGAGGGTTGTATCCTTCACTGCAGGATTGGAATGGACTGAGCAGGAATATCCCCTGGGGACAATGTGACATGAAGATCCCAGCAGTCTAAACAGGTTCATTCAAGGAAGGATCAGCTACTACAGATACATTTAAAGGAGAAGTAACAAGAAGAGGTTAACATGGCCTTTTAACCCTTTAGCCTCTCTTTTGCTGGTCAGGCTTTACTTTCCTATTTGCCCCTTTGAGCAAGTTAATAATTGTCTATCCATACTGTCAGGGAAAAAATAAAAAAAGCTCATCCTTGAGTACTTCTTTATGACCAGAGTAATGACTGTTCAATATGATCTGCATCAGTTCTATTCTGTCTAGTTCAGTACTCATTGTCTCCAAAACGTTAATTTAAAATAGGAATTTAAAAAGAAAAAAAAATCTGAGATAAGGAATTCTAGAGTCAAATTTCCTTTTAGAATCTCAGCACCACTACGACATTGTGTCATAGTCTTTAACTGCACAGAAATCAAGACCTGTGCAAAATGGGAATGGGAATGCCCATCCCTTTGTGAGTGTCCTCCATTCATGTCACCACTTGGTACTGAGGTTTTTACTCTGTTCATGTCAGCTGAAATACTTGTTGCCTCTGTCTGGTGCCTTTTAAACACAAGATGAAATTCTGTTGGTATAATTTTTTAACCATTCAGTGGTAGTGATAATAAAATAAGTATCAATGTACATGAATATATATGTGTCACTTTGGTTATAAATTAATGCAGATTGATTTTCAAGATTGTTGAATTAATATTTGCAACAGTTTCATTTTTAAGACCAGAATGTTTTAGGGATCTCTGTTTCTGAAAAATGTAGTTACCTTTATGTCCAGAGGATGCTACAATATCTTATTTTGGTTTGTACTTTCATGTACTGTTCTGTGCTCCTGGGTTCCTGATATATAACTTACCTTTGGAACAGGATGCCTTTGGAAATTGTGGAATTGCTATCCCAGTAAGATGAATAATGCAAACATTTCAGTATGCTAACTGTTCTTATATGGCAGGAGACAAACTCCTTTCATTCGTTCTAGACCAACTTTTCCAGGATTCCTAAGAAAAAAAGCTCAAAAAGCATTTTTTGTATGTTTTATTCATAAAAATAGAATGCTCTCACTTCCTCTGTCAGTGATGTCACACAAGATGTGCTACAGTTGTTGACTGTTACCACTCTTGGAACAACAAAGAAGTTCAACCAAAATGTGTTGCTCTATAAACTAAGAGTTGGTTTTACATGCAGATTTCCAAGTTACTACTACTTGTGGCTGCCACGTGGTGTGTTCATGATTTGGCTTTGCTTTAGTCACTGTATCTAATTTCACTATTATTTCCCTCAACACCCAGCAAAGATCCGCAATTTTGTTTTTAGAAATCTTTGCGTTCTGTGCTGTATATACTGAGAGGGATTAACTCTTTGTTTTTCAGAGCTTCCATATGGCTGGGAGAAAATTGATGATCCCATTTATGGCACTTATTATGTTGAGTAAGTTCCTAAGTTCAATATTAAGTTGCTATTAATATGTCATGACCTAATACTGGTATCCTCTGCATTGCTCAGCCTGGCAAGGAATGGGTAAAATTACTTGTTAAACTAAGGGTATACCAGGAATTCTCAGTCATCAATGCAGTCAATATATCCAGATATATCCAAAGTGTCCCAAATCAGTGACTCAGTCACCCTCTCTATCCATAGTTTGGTTTCATGGTACCATTCCAGGTGACACTTTTACAAAGAACATATCCATTAAAGAGACATTGCATTTTCTATCTAAGGTTTGGATGTCCAGCAAGGTATAAATCTTGTTAATCAAGGAATAGAGCAAAGCATATTCATTTTAGCTCAGTTAAAATCTGAGTATTCACTTGCTGCAAATCAGGTGTTAATACTGGTGTACCAGCAGTCAAGTTTTTTATAAGCTGCATATAAACTTTTATGTTTTATTTTGTATTTTAAAGTGCAGTTGAAAACAATATAAATTCTATTTTCATAGCACAATCCTTGGTTTCATTTTCTTCAGATTCTGTTTTAGTTATGAAACAAGAAAGAAGTTTCTTCCTCTGTGCAAAGGCCAAAAAATGCTTTGTTTGAAGTAATGGTAGAACCTGGCCAGTTTGTACATAAAATAAGTAAATCTGAGAGATTATTTCCTCTTCTTTTTAACTTAACATAGTGAATAAGACTTGTGAAAAATGAATCTAGATCCAGATTGTGATACTTGTTTGGGAGGGGCCTGTTCTCACTCTGCTCTCTATAGACAGTATGCAAGAGAGGAGACAGAAAACCACTCCTATCACTGTGCAGATTGCACTTGAAAGGTTGAGAAACAACTGTCCATTAGTGCCTTTTATTAAACAAGAGAGATCTTTAGGGAATATTGCCCCTGACCTAAAATTTCAATTTCAAATCTTGACACTCAAGCTGTATATTTATCTAGTTGAGCAGTATATTTATCTACTTGTTTCACAGAAAATAGAAAATTTCCTTTGTGTCTCATATTTTTCCCTTGGTCTCTTGAATCCATGCCAGCACACTGACTCCAGGATTGCCCTGGACATATATTGGGGATGCAGTTTTTCCAGGCTTCAGGATATGCTGCTCTTATGCAAGGGTCCAGGCGTGCAGGGAGATCATAAAATCATCTGATTCCTGGAGGTCTAGAAGATGTAGGATGCCCCTTTCTTACCTGCTGTCACAGCAGCAGCTTGTGAATGCCCCTGCATCCCCAGCCTTCTACAAAGCAAACAGTCAACAGAAAATGGTGTTTGCTCACTGCTCTGCTGACTCCTTCTGTCCCATTCTCCAAATGCCAGAGCACCTGCTCTCCTTCTTTGTCCCCAGCTTGCTTTCTGCCCTCAAGTGAGAGAGGCAGCAGCTCCATCTACTTGGCTGCTCAGCTCAAGTCACCTCAATCAGTCCAGACTGAGGCAAAAGTATTAATTTTGAAGTCTCTACATAACACCATTAAATTACTCCCCCTTGTGATGCCTGAGTTCTTTTATGATGTCCCCAGGTAGGTAGGGGCTGCAGTTCTCATATCATTTCGTACTTAACCCCTGCCAAAGATTTCTGCACATGCTATTAAGCAGCTGCTGGGTGTAAGTTAAGCTTCTGCCCCAGTGGTTTTTAGTGTATTTTGGGGTGTAACAGGTGTTGTGCAATTTCTGAGCAGTAATCTCTTACTGAGACTCCCTTGGCTGCTGGTGCAGCCTGAGGCATTCTGGCACCAGCAAGGCTCATACTGCGCTGCAGAGTCAGAAAAGGAGCAAGTATTTATCTGCATTTCATGTCCAAGCACAGGTAAACAGATGCAAGGCACCAGGCCCAGATGTTATTGTGCAATTACATATTTTAAGGCTGTTATTGCCAAATTTATTAATCCTACCACAGAGAAGATTTGTGGACAGATACATCAAACCTACTGCAGTCTATGAGGGTTTTAGAAGTGGAATGGATGCTCATGGTGTGGCATTAAAATTGCAGCCCTGCTAAATTCACATGGAGTTTTATAGTCAGTAAAATGTAGCTGTAGTTTTATTTGCTGTCTGAGCTCAATAAGTTTGAAACAAAGATTGTTTTCCATTTTTCCTGCTACAATATATAACAGTCACAGCTTTTTTATTACCAGTACTCAACAGATGAGTTCATTTTTAACTAGATAAAATCAGATAACAATAAACTCTCTCAATTTTGTCATAAAAGTAGGTAAATTATGAGAAGCAAGATTACAGACTTCCACATATTTAGGGCCAGTCCAAGTTTACATGCAGGCCTCCAAAATCCTTATAAAAGAAGGGTTTGTACTCTGCTCACTGAGGTGCCTGTATCCCATGGGAAGTTTGTACGGTTGAGCAATGAGGCAGACAGACTCCCTTTCACTTCCAAGGAGCAGCCATGTTCAGCTCAAATATTCTGAGACCAGAGAAAAAGCTAAAAAAGAAAACAAACCAAAACAAAGAAACTTAAACCTCCTGCTAGTCAAGTTACTAAAAACAAATCACAATGTATTTGCAAATTGTGTTAAAAAAAAAGTCTCCAGTATAACTACCTTTCTTAATCATGCATTAATGTAGGTGTGAGAGAATATTATAATTTTCATTTACTTTTTTATGCAGGCCCAGGGCTCATTTGTAATGTGTAAACATTGGACATAAATGAGAAATGTTTGCTATATGTTTGTTAGCTTTCAGGCAATCTGGTCTTAATTTGTAAACTAAGACCTAACAGCACTGAGCTGTGCAGAACTATGGAGAGAAAGTAGTCATTAGAGTGCACTGGGTCTTTCAGGATTCTAATTGCCAAAAGATTGTTTTCCTCTTTAAGGATGACTAACTACAACACAGAGCTCAATTTTCAGACATGGGCTCTTTAATAAAACAGCTAAATTAGCCATATAGGTATTTATCCTAGGAAAACATTCTCCTTGATTTACAACTTCTGGCAATTCTCTACTCAAATAGAAAAAGTTATCTCAGGTCTTTTTGTCATTATTATGTGTTCTCAACTGGAAAAATGTGAATATAAAGGGTAGATAGGCACTAACAAGCTATACATTAGAATATCAATTTTATAGGCATCTTGATCCCCAGGATTACTTTGTTGGGTAATAGGCATTGTGTGTACCCATTGGGTAATGAGTAATTTCAAAAGCTATAGGCAAAAACTGAAAAAACCCCATCTCATATATGAAAGTAGCTAAGAAAAGGAGATAGGTTAAAATCCTTCTACTGATGCTTATGCTCTGACCTGCTACCATTTTGTCTGAGCTCAGTGTCTTGACCAGCAACTAAAGTCTGCAAATTAGGCGCTACAGCCCACAAATCTCCTAATGATGTGTTTCAGTTGTCTTAAGTGCATCTAACCTGAAACTCATCACAAAAACCACTTAGCCTGGCCCCACTGACTGGTGAAAGGGCAGAACTGTGTCTGTGTCTTATAGCTGGGCTGGTGGTGATGGTAGCTCCCCATCACACAGAGTATTTTGACATCACAGGTAAACATAGCTCAAAAGAAAATCCGACCTCTGAGGGTGTGTCCCCAGTTGAGATGCAGTGAGATAACAGGGGCCAGCAGCACCAGCCACTCCTTTGCACAGCCACAGTGGCACTAGCATAAATTAGTTGGATTAGGTTTTGGATTAGGATTTTTTATTTAATATATACTGTATAAAATAAAGGAAGAAAATTCAAGTTAGAATTGTTCACTGAATTACATCCTATGAGTAATGAGCAATATATTTTGGCTACCATCCAAAATCTGTTTTAACCACAAAAGCACATACTTGTAACCATCTTTAAAACTCACATTTGGCTTGTCTTATGAAGGTCTAGGCTAATAATAAATATTGTGTATGCTGTTGAAGTAGCTAGATGTAAAGCTAGAATGTCTTTTCAAGAGAATTATTTAGCTTAATAACTTCTTTCTCGAGTAAACTCATCTGGAGCACTTTTTCTCATTTAGCCAAGAAGCTGTATAGCACTTAAAATTGCATAAAAGAGATTTGTTTCATGTAATATCAGTACAATATTACTGACTGTTAAAAATGAATGATTAGAACTTTCTTTTCTTTGAGTCCTCTTGGACACAGCATTTAATGCAGTTTTGGGGTTTTTTTATAATAGTTGGAAATTTCACATTGTGCTTTGGAGATTGCACACTACCAAAAAGCAGTCAAAATATGAGAATAAATTGGAGCTTAGAATTATTAAAATTGCACCAACAACATGAGGTGATTCAAGAACCTGTTAGTCTTCCTATCTGATCTTATAGGAAGAAAATGTCATTTTCAGCTGTTGTTAAAGATATTTCTGTTTAAATGGACCAAACAACAACTTAAACTATATAGAAACTGTAGGTAGGCAGTAGAAAATGGATTTTAGCTGTGATGTCAGTACAACAATAATTAATCTTTCTTGAGCCATGAGCACAGATTAGCTAAAAGCCCAACTTCTCTTATATCACAGAACTACATATAAGTTGAATCTTGGGTCTGCGGGGGCCCTCCTCCTTCAGGTGTGCCCTGCAACTGCAACATGACACTAAGCATAATGCAAGGTCCTGAATGAAGACTGGAGTGTAATCTTGGATATCCATTACATCTGCATGATATGGCACAAAAGCCGTGGGAAACCTCTGCTCTTGTGGAGGGCAGCTGGAGAGCAGGGCAGGATAATTTAGAGCCCCTAAAGTAAGAGATGATCCCTATGTTGAAGCTACTAACCCACATGTATAGCAACCCTGGTTTAAACCTTATCAAATGCTAACATAAAACAAGCTAGGTATTGTACTCCATACCTCGTACTAGAAGCTGTTTTCTAACTTCACACTTCTCTTGTGAGAAGCCTACAGACTTCAAGTCTGAAATCCTGGCATCTTTAATACATTCTAGTATTTACTTCCAAATGTATTCATAGAATGCAATTATATATCAGAATTAATTCTGCTTGAATAAAAAGCTAAAACTCCTTTGATCTTCTATAATAAAATACTCTATTTCACTGGTCTTCTTGTTAAACCTTTCACAGAGATTCTTTTCATTTGATCATGGGTGCTCAGAACTTTATGTAGTATTTGAGTTTCATCACTGTCTTGTGTAAAGGCAAAAGCAGTATTTCCTTTACAACATGGAAATATATCAAATGATAAACACATCACATATTTACTTTTTTCATGCTTATGTTAATAGTTCATGATTACCTTTTTGTAATGCACATAAGTCTTGCTTTCTCCATTTTTAACTAGTGAAGTTTTCCTCCCTTTATCATAAGTTTCTAGGTTTGCAATAGAATAAGGTGCTGAACACCCTGACAATTACTAGAAATAACAGAAAGCAAAAGTGAAGGAAAGGAATAACTGCAATCTTAAACAGCCTGTCTGAAGAATGGAAGGAAATGAGAGGGACTTTCTCTGTCTGCAGCATAGATCAAAATTTACTGAAAGCTATTAATGTAAATTTCAGAGTATGAGAGTAAGCTAGCAGTCCCTTGAATGAGTTATAGCCATGTGAACAAAGCAGTAACTTAAGGATTCATCACATTTACTTCAACTCATTAAATCAAATATTCTTTTACATGACTGAAAGTCCTTTCATTTTATTAGCATTGGCCACTAAATCCTATTTTGCAAGTGTATTGCACTCCCATGGGACTTGCTGGCTTTCTTCTATCTCACTTCCTAATGGCAATTCCACTTATCTTCTTTGAAGCTGTGGTAGGATCAAAATCTCAAAGGACCTGAAAAGTGCTTGATATAGCACAAAAGGTCATTGATATGTAAAAAAAAGGGTAAAAAATACCCTTTTAGGACCTTAGAGTCATGAAAGTTACCAGGTAACCTGTCCAAGTGCTTAAATCCATGATTGGGCTTGGATTTTTAGAAGACCTCAGTATATGGTAACCCAGTGAGAACAAATAAGGAGTGACAAAAGCCTGCCCTTCTGTAACAGGATTGGATTGAAAGGTATCTCAGTGATGGACAGGATTGAAAGATAGCTCAGTGATGGACAAAATGTGTGCTTTAAAGAATTAAAATCAAGGATATGGTGACAGTAGTAGTAAAGATCATAGTCCTAAACACAATGCAGAAAAATGCATTGTAATGCCAGAGATGGACTTAATGGCCTCTAGTAGGAAATGTAAAACATCAAGAAAAAAATGTATGTACTAACTTTTATTATATTTCATATATCATCTGCATAGTTCTAATCTGCCATCTAATTTCGTTTCTGTATCTGATTTTTGTGTACAGCTGAGCAGATACACACCATAGTACTAAAAAGGAATAATCTTCAATTTATTACCCATTAGATTTATTTGTAAATTACCATCATAAAAGCACTCTGTTGTATAGGCTTTTCTTTTTCTGCAAGTTCACTTACAACTAATTTACAATACAGCACAAAACTGGTTGAGATCCTTTGAATCATACACAGAAGAGTGGTCATGCCGAAGACATGAAAAACTTACTGTAGCATGTTTCAGCAGTGCTGCTGTTTAATTTTACTATCTATGTAGTCTCACAGATCACAACCATTTTTATGTGGCAGATTTAGCATATTGAAGTGATAGGATGCTGCTCAGTGCTGTTCATTACACAGGGCACTGGTTGTATTTCCTCATCCCCAGCTAAATTGTGTGGAAGGTAAGGGATACACTCTGGCCCATTGGGGCCTGCAGCACCCCACTGTGAAAATTAACATTTCACCCAACTGAAACCAGTTTTTAATCAAAACCAATTTTTTTCCAGCCACATAAATAGAAGAACTCAATTTGAAAACCCTGTCCTAGAAGCAAAAAGGAAGCTACAGCAGCATAACATGCCCAACGCAGAACTTGGAACAAAGCCTATGCAGGCCCAAGGTTTCCGAGGTACAGTACCATGTCAGCTATCTTGGTTAAGATGAAAGATCCTGCTCTCCTGTTTAAGTGACAATGATTTTGTCATAGTCTGGTTAAAGGAGTAGTGTTGCCAATGCTCAAAATGTTATCACCTATATCTTAGCAATTTTCTCCCTTAAATGGCCAGGTTCCAATAGTTGTAGGACTCACCAATAGTTGTAGGACCCACCAGCCAACTAAAACTTTGAGAGGTGCAGAGAAAAAAAACAGAAAAGATGAATCTAGTGTTTCCTAAAGGCTGAGAAGTTGAAAGCACAATAAGAATCCCAAAGTAATTTTCTAAATAAAGTCATAAATTCTGTTCCTGGGAATGTACAACTCTCTCTTGAGCACCCAAGGTTGGCAACACTGAAATACTTAATTGTACTTTCTCTAAATTACTCTTAATTGATGTTTGGTATGTTTCTAAGCTAGCTCATCTAGCAAGCATCAATTAAGTTAAAAGCCTCAAGCACAGTGTTATAGGAGTTTACAGGAATGCAGCCACTTGGTAACATAAAAATGAATGCGCTCAAAAGGAGGTGTATAAGCATCAAGCAGTACTGGTATCGACTAATGGATTTTAACGTGAGGTTATAGTCAGAGAGTGAGGCTTCTTCTCCTTTGTGGCAGTAGAAAGCTCCTCATCAACCTTACCTAGACCCAAATTTGCCCGCCTGCGCCCCGCTCCCAGGAGGTCCCGCAGCGCCAGTGACCTGTCGCAGTGCCGGCGCGACCCCGCCGGGGCCGGTGCTCTGTACGGTACGTCCTGCTGCTCACCAGCCCTGGGGCCAGCTGGGCTCACACATCTGCACCTTCCCCAGCCCTCCCTCACCCCCTGCAGCATGGGAGAGCAGCACCGGGACCCACACTGCACCCCGAGGCACGAGACACGGAGCTTGCACAGCAGTCATGTGTGTCACTTGTTGGATGCCTAAACCAGAAAAGTTCATCTGGTATTTACCTCTTCTGGGTAACAAATGGAATGAGACATTCACAAGGGATGTTTTCTTCACTGTGGCTGGGAGGGAAATGAAGAGGAATGTATTACTTTGTAGACAAAGCTGAATTTATAGGTTAGGAAAGAGGTTTTTAAATTACCTCACAGATCATTTTTATTGTTGTGATTATTTCAGCTGCGCAATAGCCCCTTCTAAATGGATTTCTGATATCAAAGGATATTTATATCTTTTCATTTATGGCTGATCTGCCATAGATAAGAAATATGTTTTACGCTTTGTATTAGTACAAGAACCCACAAATATTTTTCCTGGAATGCCTGCACTCTTTATTTCCTTGCCTTTGATACACTGCCACTTGGTGTCAACCAATATTGTTATCTGCTGTCCCTGCTATGCTGTGAATAGATCAGAGCTTTTCTCTTTCTTGTTTTTGTTGACTGATGTAGAAAAACCACTCTTCACCCGTGATGCATCACAGCTGAAGGGGACTTTCCTCAGCACAACTCTTAAGAAAAGCAACATGGGTTTTGGATTTACCATCATTGGTGGGGACGAGCCGGATGAGTTTCTCCAGGTGAAGAGTGTAATTCCTGATGGGCCTGCAGCACAAGATGGGAAAATGGAAACAGGTAATTATGAAGGTTCATCTGTTCTTATATATAAGAAATAGATTTCTGAGTCTCACTCTCTCCATAATTACATTCATTTTCCATATGACTTTCTGTGTTAATATGTAGAAAAGGTAAGTTTCTTGGTAAAAATGTCTTCCTAGTAAGTGTCAGGTAGATATTTTTCCTATTTTGCAATATTTTAAGAGAGAAAAGATCTCTGCATTTCCCTACATAAAAGTGGGTTATAGTTTATAGACTGTTTACTTAAGGGATGTCTACATGGAAAGAAAAGAGATAGAGAACACAGACTACTAAGTGCAAATTTATTTCTTTAGAAAGGATGGTTTTGCAAAGTAATCAGTTGAGTCTCATCCAATACTGTTCTCATTAGAACCATCATAACAAGAGTTTTCAGTGTGGCATATGGACACACAAGCATTTGTGTCCTTTGAAAAAATTTTGTGAAAACTCATGAAACAAAAGAAACTTCTGAAGAGATTGAAAGCTGCTCTGAAGATCTGGACCATCACTGCAAACATTTTCATGTTCACAGATTGATAAAGATTGCAAACCACTGTCTAAAAGGTCACATCAGGCCTATGAATAGATGAAACTCTTTTGAATGGAAATGAATTCTTTTTCAAGCAGTTGTCATCTTCTTTTGGAAAAGACAGAGAATTATAGAATTATTTCAGGCAGGGACCTCCAGTTACTAGCCCCTTGTCTAAAATAAGGCTAACTTTGTGCTTGGATCAGGTTTCTCAGGGTCTTGCGAAAATTTTGTTAAGACACAGGTTCCACAGCCTCTGTGGACTCCTGTGCCAGCATTTCTCAACTCTCATTGTGAAGACTTTTGCCCAGAATTTGTGGATGCCTCATCCCTGAAAGTGTTGAAGGCCAGGTTGGACAGGGCCCTGAGCAGCCTGGTCTAGTGGGTGGCAAGGGAAGTAGATGATCTTGAAAGTCGCTTTCAACACAAGCCTTTCTGTTCCATCATTTTTGTTCTTTGGGTTCATTGGGCTGTCCACGGGTGCAGCTGGTTACCAGGGACTGTGCTGCTGTGTTTGTGCAGTCCTGGCACTCTGTACCATCTCTCCCCAGTATCATTTATTGATGTGCATAATTTTTTACTTCCATTTCTCACCAAGATATTGAAATGAAGAAATGCTAGTTTGGGATTGTTTTTGCCTCTGTAGAAAACCCATTTCATGGTGGCCAAAGCCACTATGAAGATAATTTTCTAAATTTTGGTAACAGATCCATGTGGAAGGGTCACAGCAGCAGAGAAAGATCCTTTTAGTATGTTACAGTGCAGGGAGCAGACACAGAAATAAATGCAGGGACAAATGATGCAAGTAAAATATTGAAATATTCTGAAGTGATTTTTCTGGAAATTTCATTTCATCTTTCTTTTATTGTAGTTTTTNTTTTTTTTTTTTTTTTTTTTTTTTTTTTTTTTTTTTTTTTTTTTTTTTTTTTTTTTAATCAGAGTCATATTCGTATGACAGAATAAATCACCCTGGATTCTAGTTTATTTTGTTGGACTCTCCAGGACTCACCAAGCAGGAAGTGTAAAGATTATGAAAAGTATTGTTTAAAGAAAACCCAAACAGGATTTACTTCAAAGCTAATGTTACAGCCATCATGATGTTTCTAATGCCAGAGATAAACAGAAAATTTGTATGAAGAAACAAAATGTAAGAAAGAAGTAGAATTTTTTTGCACTGATTTTACAAAAAACGTTAATCTAACAGCTTTTTAATTCTCAGTACTTGTTGCTATTTTAACTTAATACAGTATAGTTCCCAATGGGAAAATTTATTAAATTAGCTGATTAGGGGAACAAAGGATACAATAGACTTCCAGAAGTTCAGAAGATTTCAGTGACATAAACTTCATTTTTCCTTACTATTTTCGTACTATCTCATACATGGCATGAGACTTTTTCCTTGTTTGTCATGATTTAGCATTCTCAGATGCAGAACTCAAATATAGTTACTTGCTAATCCCTTTGAAGTGTGGGTTGGTTATTAGTGAACTTGACCATATGGAGTTTTTTCCTCTGGAAAACAAGGTGTCCTTACAACTTACTTGAATTTTTATGCTGAATTGAATGTGGGTTTCACAACACTGTTGATGGTCATTATTGTAGTCATGGATTGTGCTGAGAACATGTAAGAAAACTGTTTTCTAAAATGCATAGAAATAGCATTGTTTTTTTCTTCAGGTAATTAATTCAACTATATTAGGAATGCAAAACAGAAATTTACATTCAAATATATAACCAAACTATAATTATATGACCCCAAAACATACAAAATTAGATCTCAGAACAAATTTTGGCCTTAAATATCTTTGTTTTTAAGAAGAGTGACAGATTCTGATATAAAGTAATTGGAGAATCTCAGACTAATGATTGTGACATCTAACATTGGTTCTATGAATAAAGCAATTTTTAAATACGTTAATGGAAAAGTGGAAAAATATATTTAAGGTCAGAATGTTTATAAAAGCATTGTTCAACAAAGTGCTTGCATTTCCTGATATGAAATCCTTTTCACATTTCCTGAATTAGAGTTTCTCTCCCTATTGAGCTATTGTACAATATAATCAATTGAAGATATGAAAGCCTCCCAGGTTCCATCAATAGCTTTTTGTTCATAAAGCTGTTAAAATCTTACTTTGGAAAACTACTTGAAATTACATCTGTTTCTTTTTGTTTGTTAGTTAGGCATCACCGGATAATGAATAGAGCTTTTAAAATATTTTATTTATTCTTTTGATACTATGTGTCATTGTTCAATTTCTGTGCACTCCATATATGATCAGAGTCATGGGAAGCTTTGGTTATAGATCAAAACATCATATTGTGCCAGGAAGGCATCATAGTAGAAAGTCTGAGGGCAGTGAAAATTATCTGTGAAGCAAACTGAGTGTAAGAAATAACCACAGAACTGGTGCCGCAGCTCAAATATCATTCTGGACCCTATCCCTTGCAAAGCTATACTATTTTTTGGCCCAGTGGTGATCAAAATCTTCATTCTTCAGACCTGCATCAGATTTGGGGGAAATGCAAAGGAAAGGCACCATCTCATTTATCTTACCTAAACTTTGGCCACAAACTGAAGACACTGAAGCTGTACTTCAAGCTAACTGTTAAAGAAACAAGCTCATAGAAAACTACTTTGGTTTATTTCTCCACCCAAAGTCTAATATAGGGGTCAGAGACAAATGCTATTCAAAGAGTGAGTCTATGTAAGACATTTTCACCCTTAAATGTGATCATAACAACGCAGTTTGACCTGAAGGTTTAAAAATTGAGCAATTCTGCATTTCATCCTTTGGATCATAGTTGGAAAAGGCTTTCAAGATCATTCAGTCCCACCTCCCATACCAGAAACAGGTGAGCCTTCCACTAAACCTGGTGGTACTCCAGCATGTGACCACACAGCTTGAGGTCATCAGCAAGCTTGTTGAGGGTACACTCAATCCCTGTGTCCAAATCTCCAACAAAGATGTTAAATGGTGCCTGTCCCAGTACTGACCCCTGAGAGCCCTGCTGAAAGCCTGGAAGCCACTGGGAACACAGAAACAGCACTGCCTGGCAGTGACTTGGCATTGCTGTGAAACAGAGCCATGAGGCAAACCGAGTGCACTGAGATGCAACACGAGATATCTGAGGTACTGACAAGCTATCAGAACCCCTTGGTGCCCAGTGCTGGGCACTAAGAGGTATTTATATTTGTCCTAGACCCACAATAAACCTCACAAGCAGACTCAGAGGAATCACATCTTAGTGGATGAGTCAACAACAACCGAAATTACATTCCTGATCCCATTTGCCAGATGTTTCAGTATTTGTAGGGGCTGTTATGCCCTCATGTAAATCTAGCATCTGTGTGTTAATGGTTGTTAATAATCCTGAAAATGCCTTTCTAGGACATGTTTTAGCATTTGGAGCTCAATCAAGCTGCTGGATATGAACATTACATTCCACAGCATCTCTGTCTATATCAGGACAGCTTAGGAGCTGATACCAAGTTCTTTTCTGGGAGGTTACATTGCTTTATCTTGTCTGAAGCCTCATGTAGCCAACAGAAAACTGTCTGTATTTAAGATGCCCCTGCATTCAATTCAAATGCTGGTAAAAAACTGCATCTACATGAAAAGATTTTTATACAGTGAGTGATTTTGACTGACTGCTGTTCTAAGGCAAACAAAGATTTAGGCCTGTGGCTGTGTCAGATAAAAGCTCAAGCTGCAGAGGCAAAATCTCTCCTATAAGTCTCAAGGTTATTCAGTGGACTGGATAAACTGAAACACTCCCACATAATCAAGCTCGGGGAAAGATTCTCACTCTCTGCATTTCAGCAAGCTCCATTTCCTTTGGTGAAAGTTTGCAGGAAACAGCCCAAAGACATGGTCCAAAAGTGGTTCTTGGAGTCTGGGGATGACCCTTCTGACTGATTAATATCTTTGATCACTGCAGGTTAAACTTTCCAGAAACATAAATCTGTGGGGAAATGTCATAGCTCAACCATGTGAATCAAAAATGAGGGAATATATTCTTTCATTTCATCTGCCAAGTATGCACTTGGCCAGCTTTAAGATGCTAAATCATCTGTAAACAATGAAAACTTGGACTTTTTTAGATGTTGTTCTCTCAGGAATGGTAGTTTTTCTGTATTAGTTGATCTATTCTAGAGATAGAAATTCATAAATTAAAGCTAAAGTTCAGCTAACAGATATACTTGTCTACAATTCAAATGTATACACCTACCAAATAAGAAGACATCTATTACTTTTGAATGACTGTAATATGATGAAGCCTAGAGAAAAAAGCTAGAGATTTGTCCCATATCTACCACTCAGAATTCCCTGCACCTTAGAGATCTCCAAAGGGAATGAGTTGTTAGAAATGCTGGAAGGAGTGGCCCATTGCCTTGCTTCTGTCCATGGACAGATGTCAAGACCTGTAACTGTCTTCTGCATATGATGAATTTTTCAAGAAGCTGAGG